TTTGCTTCGGGTTGCGACCAATTCGGGCTGCGACCAAAGTCACGGAACGAATTAAGTTCGTAACCTGAGGTACCACTGTAATTGAACAACTGAAGTACTCAATGAATAAATCCTATCTTCCTGAAGGGTGAAGTAACATATGTACCCCATCTCACCAAGCACTCGCTCCCTTCCACATTTCAAACATGGAACTCTCTGCTCCTTTGGCCAGTCCAATTTAAAGGTCAAAGAAAGAAGACGGCAACTCCGCCTCTCTGTCTTGCCTCCCGAAAGCAGAAAAATCTGCAGATACTCACACACTGGACAAACTCCCTGAAGCGTCCTCTCTTTATGGATGGGTTATCACGCCTGTAGACTTTTCCAATGTGGTAACGTTTACATCGTTTAATTTTGTTCATAGCCAAGTAACGAGCGAATGGCACCTAGAAACTTCGTTAAGAAAACTTGAGTATAGCACAGAAAGTAAGTAAACAATGGACAACCTTTTTCCACCTGAGAAATATTTTGCTTTTTAATAACAGCATAACTAGCTTCCAAGACTGCAAGTAGCCCATCCAGTGACATCACCAGGGGCTAGGTTTCCAGTCTTTTTCAGTGATAGGCTTAAGCTGTAAAATAGGTATCTTAAATCTCTTGGAGGCTCAGCTCACCTGTTTTGCATCTTGTTGAGAGGAGAACAGAACTATAAGCAGAAATGTTTTGGGCTGACACCAACAAGATTACTACTCTGACTCTAAATTGACTACTGGGTATTGAAAGACAGGTTCTTCTTGGCTATAATCCAAATACTGTGATTCTATCAAGGCTTCAAGCATTGTGGTTTCTAGAGACATAGTATAAAAGAATTATACATACTGGAAGGAGAAATCTACACAACGTTTATCCAGCAGATTGCTGAAATACATTGGATGGGGGGTTTTTTTTGATAAAAGGGCAAAGAATAAGACTTTTAAGCAATATAGTAACATTATTTTATAATAAAATGTTCTAGCCCCCTCCTTTTCTTTTTCATTATTATTAATTTTGAAATCATATTATTTTGGTAGTACTGTTGTATCTTTTCTTTTCTTCTAGTATGTATTTTTAAAAAGGATTTGTTGCCACTATATTTTTGTTATACATTAGCATCTTGTCAATTTGGTGGTAACTTCAAAGATGGATTCCATGGGTCATACACAAAGGTTTGGGAGTTTCTTGTAGCCATGGACTGTCATTTTTATTTTAGAGACAGATATAGAGACTTTCACCTTCTCTCAAATATAGCAAAAGCTGGAGCTTGTTATTTCTTTGTTAAAAATGTAAGATAAAACTTCATTAAATAGCAGCAGCAGCAGGGTGAAACACTAGACAATTCAAAGTATCTAGAAAAATGGTAAAAAAATTAAACTATAGTAAGTTTGGAAAGTAGCTCCTTTCCTAGAAAAGAGACTGTAAAGCTGAAACAACCACAATAACATTCTGTGGTTTATTTTAGTAAGTTTCCTATCAAACAATATATGTAGAAAGAATTTTCTATAAGTTCTCAACAATTTCAAAGACTTTTACAGAAGATGACACACTGCACTGGTTCTGGCTGTTTGTAATACAGTTTCACTCTAACACATTAAACTGTGAATGGAAACATCCTGGCATAATAATGTAAATATGGAAGAGCTCCAATCTGATACACTCCCCTTAAACAAATCAACTAAAAAGGGGAAACTTCTTTTGAACCCCTTGCAAGTTTTGACCAGTCTTCAATCATTGTTATAAATGATACAGCAATCTATCATTATTCCATTATTCTGCCCAAGATACACCATCTTTAATAGAGTGGTTCTTGCAAGTTAGAAATTTTGTTAGGATACAGTTAAGTCATATCGAAGAGACAGCAGCTCTCCTCCTTGATCTTCCAGATCATAAATCAACTTTGTCTCTTCACCATAGTTCTCCAACAAGAGTTCCTTAAGTGAAGAAAAAGAAAAGAAGGAAAAACACAATATATGTTGTCATTTATGACTCTGTGTTTCAATCTCTATCTCTGTCCATCCACCTCTGTTGCTGTGATTATAACTGCACCATCCTCCTTGCCTGATTTGTGCCTGTATATTTTGTCTGTCTCCATCTGTCTCTTTAGGACTGTCTCTGCCTCTCTGTCTGCACACATTGCTCTCTCCATAGGTGTATATTGATAATCCTGCTCCTCCCTCTCTCTCTCACCTTAAATTCCCTGGGTCAGAATACTTTATAGGACCACCTATTTTCCTGCTAAAACTTCTTTATAAGATTTGTTCTGAAATATATTAACACATTATTTACTGTAGTCTACTATGGCTTTTTCCTCCAGCACTGTCCAAACTCTGGCCTCCTCTTGGAGTATAGTAATGTACATCTTCACTGCTAACCTTCTATGACAGGCAAGAATCCTGCTGCATTGGAAACCTCCTGAATGTATTATTTCTTTATTGAATGGTTGGGTCATATGACTAAGAACTATGAACTACAAGTAGTTGCAAAGGAAAGCAAGATACATCCTTCAATAATAGAAATGGAGAATTGGACTTATTGCAAAAGTTCCTATAGTAGATAGAGAATATCATAGGAAAGATAATTCCTCATATCCAGTCCAGGAGAAAAGATGTTTAAAAATTGTCAGTCCTTCATGATGGGACAGAGCTTTCCTATCTAAGTTTGGCAGTAACACTGTGTAAAAATCATATTTGGGTATTGAAAAACAGGAAAAAGAAACTTATAGAAACAAACAGAAGAAAAAAAATGATATCCTATCCTAACAGATGTGGAACCTGGAAGACACAAAATAATTGACTGTAGTAAGACTGCACTTATTAGTATTGTAAGGGAGTAAAAATTATCTAACCATTGTAGAAGAACCTTCACAGTAAATCCAATGTTCTATTTTCCAAGTGGAGAAGAAACAATAGATGGCAGGTAAAAAAGGAAATGCCATGCAAAATAGTTTCTCACCATATTAATTATGAAGGAGCCTCTCACTGAAGTATTTGCCAGCAACTCTGAGCAGATAACAACTTTAACCCTTCCCTCTGAAACTTAATAAATATCTAAGTAAGTTAGTAGAAACACACATAACTTTTATAGTACCGGGCACAGTAATTTGCAAAGCACACACTGACACACACTGATAGCTTATACAACATTGTGGTCCAGTGCCTGAGGGAAGAACCTGGTCTTCAAGGCCATTCTAAAAGCCAGCAGGGTTGGAGCCTAACTACCCTTGAACTTGGAAGTGATGCTATTCCACAGGGGAGGTGCAGTAAGGAGAAGGCATGCTTCCAGGGTCCACCCAGTTTACTAGCTGGGATCTGGAGCATGCCAACCCTGTCTTATCTTTTTGAGCTAGCAGAGATAATTAAGTCAGGTGGTTCCCTCAAGTACCCTTGCCCTGTGCCATGAAGGGTTTTATAGCTATAAATTAGCACCTGAAATTGCATCCAGAAGCCAACCAGTAACTAGTGCAGCATGCAAAATAGTGGTATTACATAGGTGCACTGAAGTGCACTCATAACTACCCATGCTGTTGCATTCTGGACAAGCTGTAGCTTCTGAGTAGTCTTCAGGAGCAGTCCCATGTACAACATGTTTCACTAATCCAGGCTAGAGATCACCAAGGCATGAGTGACTGTGAGCAGAGCCAATCCAGGAACTGGAAAAATAGATGGATCTCTACTAAAATAGATTTGTGCTAAGGCCCTCCTAACCATGGCTGTCACCTGCTCCTTGAGCTAGAGGCTTAAATCCAGGAGAAGCCCCAGACTGGAGCTCCATCCAGAAATAGTGTTGGAAAATCTCTGGGATCAGAGAACAGTTACTTGGTCTTGCTAGAGTTGAGCCAGAGTCTATTCCTCCTCATCCAGATCACAGCTTCCAGACACTGAGATAGAACTTTAATGGCATCACTTGAGTGACCAAGAGCTGAAGTGTACAGCCATATATCAGCATATTGATAATACCTAATCCCATGTCATTGTATACCTCACCCAACAGCAGATATTTTTCAACAGCAGATATTATTCAACAGCAGATATTAAATACGTAGCACCTCATAAAGGAAAGCCTTAGGGCTAGATCTCCATTCCACATCAACAGTGACTGGAACTAGCCCTTAATAAAGGAGAAATACCACTATAACCAGTGTACCTCCCACCCCCATGAGCTGGTCTAGAAGGATACCATTGATGGTGCTGAAAGCTGCTGAGAGGTCAAGAGTCAGGTTGGATGAACTGCCCCCATCCCACACCCACCATAGGTCACCAACAAGTACAATCAATGTCATCTCAATACTATGTCCAGGTCTGAAACCCAGCTGGAAGGGATCCAGATAATCTACTTCCTCCAAGGCCATCTGAAGCTGCAGCCTGATCAAAAACAGGAGGTTGGAGACCAGATGAAAGTTGTCCAGCTACTGGGTTGAGCTACAGTTTCTTGAGGAGGGGGTGGACCACTGCCTCCTTCAAGGCAGGCAGAACCACCTCCTGACTCAAGGATGAATTTACCACCACTTCGACTCAACCACATTCCATCTCTTAGGAGGCCTTAACCAACCAGGAGAGACATGGATCTAATACACAGGGGGCTGTGCTCACAGCTCCAAGGATTCTGTTCATGTCCTCAAAGTTACAGACACAAACTCCTCCCAGAATTAAGCTAGACTATGTTGCAATCACCTCAACACAATCTGCACAGCCAGAGTCCAAATCAGAGCAAATAAATTTATTCAGGCTCCCTCTGAAACCCAACAGGGTCCATCAGGTGCCTGGGGTGGATCAAATAAATAGGTTCAGACTCCCTGCAATACAACAGAATTCCAGAGGAACCAGCAAGTTGATCATGACAAGGAACAGATATTGATATGTCCCCAGACCAATTTACATTGCCATTGTCCTGAGACAAAAGTCAGGTCTAACATGTGACCCTTGGTGGGTGTCAGGCCCTCAATGATCTTATCAGGCACACGGTGACCATTAGCTGCCAAGGCTAGAATCCACCATAATCATGTATGCTGTAGCCCATTATGTCCATGCTCCCTAGCACCCATTTTGCAGTCCCACAAGCACCTGATATTGTGTTGCTGAAGTTAGACAGCAAGAACAATAATGAATTCTTTCCTTTTTTTTTTTTTGCTTAAATATAGGACATGAATATTAGAGGAATAAAATTATTCTGATTATATTGGAGAGAAAATGGCCAAAACATTTATTTCTCTTTGAAGAAATTAGCTTGCTTCCTTGCTTTCAAGACTGCCTTAGTAAAACTATGATTGTGAATTTAGGATCAAGTTATAATTGGGAAGAAACTGAAGATTAACTATGGTGCTAGAATGAGGCACTTGTAATTATGGCCTCCAGGCACAAGTGGGGCCGTACTTACCTGTTATTTTGTTGGAAATGATAGATTACTGATACATAGGTATGTAGTATCTGCCTAATGGGCAGGAGGGGAGATACACTGATTTAAGTAGCCTGCAGAATATAAGCTCCTTAATATTGACCAGATGCACCACATAATATAAGTCAGTGTGAAAGAATGAGCCCTCATTTACCAATGGGAGAGAGGGAGAGTGAAAAGATTTCTAACCACTCATACCCTGTATAGATGGTCAGGCAACTACCCTTATCCTTCCCTTTGCTATGTGAAGCATCGGCTTGGCTAGATCTTGGGTCCTGTCAGTCTTATCAGGTAGATCAGACAGGAAACACAATCAGATTAGCTAATTCTACTTTATTGTAAGGCTACATTAACAGAATCTTGCAAGTCTGAAAGTACAAATCCCCTGCCTTCTCCTTTACAGCCCAAGAAACTAGGGAGGGTTTCTTCTGAGCCTCTTGCCCCCTCCCATTATGTAATTGTGGGTTATGCTGTCTCTTATCTGACTGTCCCCTAGGCAGCATCTCTTCATCTCATCTCCCAAGATCTTTCCCACATATTATTACAGGTTCAGTGTAAGAATGGTCATCCTGGGCACAAGGGAACTATTTCCCTTCTCTGCTCCAATTCTCTGTTAACTCAACAGACAACGCTGGACACTATTTCCATTTGGAAAGCATATAAAAATTACTGTGCTGATTAAATGCCCTTTCTTTACCTTTTTTAAAAGGTAGATTAGATAAAAGGGAGACAGGAAATAAAAAAAGCAGAGCTTCAACAGGGCCTGCTTTCTAGAACTAGGCAGGATAGCAAACTAAGAAGGGAAACTCTCTTCCATCCAACAACTTTTGATTCCACCTTCTGGAGTAAGTGGGAGGACCAACATATTTTACAGTATTTCCATCCACTGCAGGAAAATAAATTTTGAGTATTCTAATTCCCAAGCCTGCAAGATCTTTCTTGCGAAGGTCATTTCTCAGCTTCTCTATGGAGCCGAAATCTGTACTTTTACAAAGTTTTTTTTTTTATCCACACTCAGTCATTACCGACTCTGCGGTGACTGCTTTGGATGAGTCCTTGCAGTTTTCAAGGCAAGGTGTTTTTCGGAAGTGGTTTGCCAGTGCCTCCTTCCTAGAGCAGAGCCCAGCTGGCAAGCGCAGGAAGCGGGGTTTCCGTTGCTTTGTGCCTTTTTTGGCGAGCACGGCTTCCACGCTACCGGCAACTGCTCCTGACTCCTTTTGCAAGGCGCCGCCAGCATCTTTTCCTCCCACCGGAGTGAGGATACCCATTTATTTATCACGTAGGTTTTCGAACTGTTGGGTTGACAGGAACTGGGGAGGAAGTGGGAGCTCACTCTGCTGCGCGA